CAGTGACCTAATAATGAACCTTGAAGTAGGTTAACACCTTTAGATTTTTTTTGTATGAAAATAACAATAAAAGAAGCCTCTAAAGTCTTTTTTTTAACTTTCTGTACATAGTAACATAAAACAAACATCTGTATACAGTTTTACACTGGATGTCATGAAATTGACCACATTTTTTAGGAAAAAACGATTTTAAGACAGGACTCAAGGACTTCTTTGCTATTGGTTGAAGCTGTGAATCAAAGTTCGCCGAAGTCACTTGTGTCTTCTCATAGGAGTGAGCAGACTCATATTCAACAATGCTCACAAAATAATGACCGGGCTCCAAACATGTGCTGAGTTTTTAATTTTTCAAGATTTACTTTTGGCCTTTATTAGAAAGACAGGACGGTGTATAGAGTCAGAAAAGAGAGAGTGGGGGAATGACATGCAGGAAAGGAATTAAAACCCTGCCTGCTTCAAAGACTACGCCGCTGTCCAACTGGTCCGACTGCGCCCCCGTGCTGAGGTTTTAACGTTTTAAAAGAGTTGCTAACCACTCTGTGCTTCGTTGTTAACTGGCTAATGAAAAGAATGCTAACTTGCAAACGGTTGTGATGTGGTGAGCGTGGTAAATAATAAATATTCAGCTCAGCGCGCGGTCACATCGATGCGACACTCAGACGTTTTGAAGGGATTGTTGGGAAGTATATGGCAATAAGAATAAGTTCTGATGGGCTGGAGAAACACCAAATGTATCTTAAATAATCATCAGGGGTTCATAGATGGTTGCAATACATTTAAAGCAAATCCATCAAATATATTTTTAGATATTCAACTTTAAAAACCTGATATGATGCTGCTAAATGAAAGTCATTAAAACACATCTTCTGTGCACAATGAATGCCTGCACATATTTAATCTCTGTGGCTACATACATACTGCTAAGCTAATTGATGTCATATATTTGACATAGAACATGGTGTGCAGTAAAATAAAAGCCTGCATACATACTGTATAGATAGAGCTGGCAGTTTGACACGTACTGTATGTGCTCAGGCTGCACATCAAACACTGAGGAGCTGAGAGGCATGAGCCCGCCTCAGATGTTTCATTATCTCTACAGTGACCACTCGCATCACCGCAGGAATACTAATTCACACAGTCAGTAGATTGCAGTCTGCAGTTTCAGCCTTCAGTCTTCACATCACTGAAAAATGATTTTTTTTTTGTGTGTGTTTTTCAGGTTTTGCCTCCTTTCCTGCGCCTGACTCTCAGTCCAAAGTCCCTCGACCCATGTCGGTGAACCCGTTCACGGTGCGTTCAATGCCTTGCCAGTTATAGTTGTTGTTGCAATAGTGAATTCAAAGTTTCTTTCTCACAGGAACTGAAATGTTCTAGATCATTTTGGGACATTATCTGATATTTTCACACATTCACCTCACAGATTTATTTTAGATTGCCTGTGTCAGGCACACTTTCACCACTTAGGAAGGATAAGGAAGTGAAGGGAAGACTTGTGTAAATCAGTGTACTTCTTGTGATGACAGATACAACAGAAAACTCAAAGTACTTGGTCTTTTTCGATTCTCTGATTTTTTTTTTAAAATGTACAAATCCAAAACAAGGAGTCGGTAGTAGTGGCTGTTTGTGGGTTAAAGCACCTGTTAAAAACAAATAGGTTGTGTTGATTTTGGCATTTATCTCTTTGCTGATCTTGTCCTGTACCTCTGTGAGTATTGCGTAAAAAAAAAAAAAAGGATTTTTCTAAATGTCTAACATGCAATAGTAAATGTAACAGTTTTAACTTTCATGAAGTCGTCAACCACTCCCACCAATAGTGCCATGAAATCACACCTCTGTTGCCAAAACCCGTTAATTAATTGTTAGCCTATTTAAGCGTGCACGTGTGTCATGACTCCGATGGAGATTTTGCTTATGCAGAGTTAAAACTCATATATGAGTGAATGAGGCCCAATATGAAAAAGTTACAAAAGGTGGTCCTGCAGGGTGCGTCTCATGTGACACCCACCTAGCAGCAGGGGGAACATGCCTATACAATATCTCATTTATAGAGAAATAATACTTTTTTTTTGCTTTTGCAGCTCGTATAGACGCATCACTAATAATTCAGTTTCTCCTCAGCTGGAGCTTTAATACCCTGCAACATATATTAGAACATTTCCACTACACAAGCTCAACTATTGGAAACAATATTCAGACAAATGAGGTGAAGAGTAAAGAGGATCAAGAAGTAAAGCCCCGCTCAGCATGAACGCCGTCATCTCCCCGTCCTCTCACACATGACGAATATTCCAGACTACGACCTGCTGCGTTCACACACACTCATCACGACTTCATAGGAACATTGTATTTGGAGGCTGGCAGGAAACAAAAAAAAAATTGAACTGTTTGTGTTCACACATGGACCCCACGCGGACAAAGTCAGGGCACGTTCAGGAGGGCAGAGAATTTCTGAGAAGGGCTAACGTGCACTTCAGGGGGATAAAATAAGTAAGGAGAGGAGGCTTCTTGTAGGCTTCTTCTTCTCCTCTCCACCTCTTTCTCACGCTGCCTTTCTTGTGTTTCAGGGGAATGTTTACCCGAGTCGAGGAGCGTCGCGGAATCCTTTCATCTGATCCCCCCGCTCCTCTCCTTACCTCCAGTTCATCTCTGGGAAAACCGAGGGGAGGAGTGAACCTGAGGAGTCGCTGCCATTTCAATGCCTTTTGAGTATTTTCATCCCCTCCTCTCCTCTCCTCTCCTCTTCCTGTCTCTCCCCTCTATCTCTGTCTGTGTTTACGTGTTTGTAGAGGGGGGAAAAAAAAGAAAAGGTGTGAATGTAATTATGTAATCTGTGTATGTATGCGTGAGCGTGTTTTCCCCCCCTTCCTGCTGTTGATCTGTCTAAAAGGTGTTTGTGTGCCAGTAGACGCCACCTCAGGGCTCTGTGGGAGTCACGAGTGAAAAGACGCCTCTTATGATTTTTGCAGAAACACACACACACACACGTTGCTGCTGCTGCTGCTACTTTAATTTCATCTCCTGCTTAGAAAGTGCATAAGAAACCTGTCGCCGGTGAATTCATTTGCGTTTGTCTCAGTTTCCAAAGGAAAAAGAAAGTTGAGAGAGTTTTTCACAGATTGTTCAAACAGCCTTAAACGCCTCCTTGATGCATGAGAATTAGCATTGAGAGACAATCCGGGCTTCTCTCAGTAGTGTGTACGCGGAACATGTTTGCATTTGTCACTGTTTCTTTGTTTCCTCTTTTAAGGAGAGTCTATGTTTTCCACTCCAAGGCTGCATGCGCTTTGAGGGCTAAAAGGAGATGCTACTGAATGTAAAAAGCAATGTCAGAATTACTAAAAATGTATATAGATATAAAAAAAAAAAAGATCATTGCTTCATGTACCGGACCAAAATGTTTCTCGCTTGTTCTTCTGTTTGGTTCTTTTTTTTTTCGGTTGACATGGAGGCAAAGTTTGTGTTCTTTTTTTTTTGCCAACACAAAAAAAAAAGAAGAGATTCATGTAACAGCGTCTTTGTATTGACAAGTATTCATGTTCATAAAATCAATTTGTTGCTTCTTAAGACTCTTAGTGTTGTTGTTTTTTTTTTTTACATAAATGTGTGAACTTAATCTCCTACTAACTAATACACACGCTAAATATGAACTTTGAATTATTGAGTGTTATAAAAAGGCTTTTTTTTCTTAAATTCTGCACTGATTAATTTAACCAGCAGGGGGCGCGTGACACTTACTTTCCCCGACCTCGTGCACAAGGTTACTTGCGGATGCATATTACATAACATAGATACTGCATAAGGATATAGTACAAATATAGAAACCTTTTATGGCTTCAGAAGGACTATTTTTAGACTCCTTTGAAAGATTTATTGCAACTTTGGATTCAAAATGAATCCTCTTCTGAAACATTAATATTGAATGTGTGTTTTAAAGGTATTTTGCGGTTTTATTTATTATAGCCACTAGCACCGGACAGAGATGGATTCACTGCTCAGCCGACCAGACGGATAAATGTCATAATAGAATTCAATTACAGCTGCTTAATCTGCCATGTGTGCAGAATTCAGGGATCAACAATCGCATTAATGACAACTTAATTACTACAGGATCTGATGAGTTCATCGCCAATATATATTTAAGATATTTATTTATGAAATATTTGATGCAGAAAAGGTCTCTGTTGGTGTCTTCGAAGGGGAAATATTCACATATGAAAGGAGGGCAGAGGGGGATTTTCACAATAAATAGAACACGGTGGACCCAAGCGAGCGCCAACACTGAAACCTTACTCCACACACACTGGAAGGGCTGCGGCCTTCACGGGTTGTGGGAAATGTTAGCACTTGTTTAAGTGAGTCCCAAATGAAGGCCTAACATGCAAAGAAAATTGCTATAAATATGGACTATTAAATCAGCACACAGGGCAGATAATATTAATTTATATTTGAAAATCAATATCATGTGAGTAAGAAGTTACGATAGAACATTTAAAAGCAACTTTATCGATAAAACATCAATATTTTTTATTCATCATATGCGTTAAGATTCATTTAAATAGAGCAGCAAAAATTATTCTTAAATAATCTTGTTATTAAACCTGATATTTAAATAGAAACCTCTGACATTCAGTCACATAAATAAAATAAAAACATTTTAAATCTCAAAACCCACATCTTTCCTCCAGACATTTATTCTATTTTGATCTCTGTAGTACTATTACCTGTTCAATGTTCATGTATAAATGTCTGTATAGTAATTATATATTAATATATACAACTATAAAAACACATGTACATTAGATATTATATATAAGTACATTTTAATATAGCGTATACTAATTGGTTTAAACCTGTGCATTGTATCGGCTAAAAAAGCTTCATTCCTATATTTCATTATTAATCTAAAGAAAAGATAAGCTAAATGTTTTGGTCTGTGTGTGAGAAGCTGAGTTTTCCGAGCCCAGGGCTGGGTCCCTGAACGCGCGGTGTTCCAGAGTACGGCGGTGAGTGACAGCCTGCTCCTCCACGGTAGCGGCTCCGCTCCTCTCAACACTACAGCAGCGGGACCCGGAGCAGAACCTCGCCGAGCTGAGCAGGACAGGTGCCGGGTGAGCAGACAGGCACACAGCGACAAGCGGCGTGCAGCAGGACATGCCCTGTGCCCTGAGATGTGCAGTAAATGGGATTAAAGCGCTCGGACACTAGCAGCACTGATAGTAGTAGTAATAGTGGGGAGTAGGGGGAGCTGCACCGCATGTGCTCGCTTGTGTGCGGCTTGAAAAACTTGTGTTGGACCGTCCGCAATTGAGAGCAAAGAAGGAAATTGAGCAGAATTGCAGCCCGTCAACTGTTTACTTTTAACTTCCCGGACTTTCGGTGCAAGCAACCCGAACCGACCCCTGCCTCCCCTCTCACATGCCTGCGTTTACGTGTGAGAGAGGGAGGGGAGAGGAGCCCGGGCATGTTTGAATTACCTCTCTAAACTTGCAGAAATATATCAGGAGAGATCAAATAGGTCGCGTGTGTTCTTGTGGGAGCTAAAGGAGATATTGGGTGTCATGGAGAGCCAAGCAGTGGAGCAGCAGAGCTGCGAGGACGTGCGGAAAAGCGGCTACCTCCGAAAGCAGAAGTCCATGCACCGGCGGTACTTCGTGCTCCGCGCCGCCTCGGAGCGTGGCCCGGCCCGCCTGGAGTACTACGAGAGCGAGAAGAAATTCCGCGGTAAGGCCCCCATCCCCAAGAAAGCGGTGGCTCTGGAGACCTGCTTCAACATCAACAAGCGGGCCGACTCCAAGAACAAGCACATGATCGTGCTGTACACCCGGGCCGAGAGTTTCGCCATCGCCGCGGAGAACGAGGCGGACCAGGACGAGTGGTACCAGGCCATGGTGGAGCTGCAGTGCAAAAGTAAGCAAGAAGAGTCTTTTTTTTTTTTAAATAAATAAAAAGAAAAGACACTGTCACATGCACGCTCTCATGCATGCATGCACACACTCAATACTGTATGAGGCTCCTGCACGGGAGCAGAAACGTGGCAGGAGTAGCGCACTGCAGATCGGGACATGTTTGGATGATAATGCAGGGCTTGTTTTAAAAACAATTAAAAGCTCCACAAGCCAAGTTTACATAGTTTGCGTTTGTGCCATGGTTGCGCTCCCTTTGCCTTTTTTTTATTTTTTATTTTTTTTTATAAATGTTTAGAGTATAAAGCTGCATCGTGTTGATTTCCCCACTTTTAAAAACAGGCTGAAGTTGTTTACAATCTGACGGGCCTGCGCGTGTAAACATGCACCTTTTGAAGCTGTGACGTTGGGCTCATCCTCCCCCATGAGTCCTTGTCATACTGGTGTCAGCTCAAGATATTTGTTCTCAGGTCTCCTCCAGACTTTGCTAAGTTTCTCTCTCTTCTGCGGCCTCAGCTGTGTGCGAGTTATTTCCCAACTGCTCAAACACACCCTGTCCTGGTGTTTACCCTCTTTGCTGCTGACACTGCAATATTACATCAGACATTGATCCCTAGAGGATAACAGGAGAGGAAAGGTCCTTCCCCCCCCCCACCAAAAGTAGTCAAAACCCTGACTGCGCCATTGTTGATTACTTCACATTTATTTGACTGGTAATGAGTAAGCTCAGCCTTTAATAAAGCCACCAACCCCTCCAAAATAACATCACCCATTTTCTTAAATGGTGTCCCTCAGCCGCTGGGTAAACACAGCTGTCAGAGTAATAGTCCTGAGCAAGGCAACTTTAAATCACCTGTTAACCCCCCCCCCCCCCCTCCACCTCCACCTCCACCTCCACCTCCACCTTCTTTCCCACGACGAGGCAGTCGTAGAAAACTGAGAAGATATGAGGGTCAACGTGTTTCTCACTCCTGACCTTCTGATTTGTAAAACACATTCTGATATCTGTGAGTTCACTTGGAATAAGGGTCAGTTGTTTTCTGGTGCAGGGAAATTTGGCTGATTGACGAGTGCATTAGGGAGACTTTATAGCTTATTTGGACTTTTGGCTTTCCCTTTGTTGGTTTAACACGACTTGGTCTGTGTTTGTGTGCTTTCGAGTTGTTTCCAAGAGAAAGGGAGTCGGCAGATGTTTGAGTTGAGCACTTTTGTTTCTGTACCGAAGAAGTCTCTTATATACTCTTTGGTAACTAAGTGCGTATGTGTGCAGGTTAGTTAGCCTCAGTTAAATATAGAGATGTTTCATTACTTGTTTTCCTTTTTGATTCTGATACTCGAGTAATAGCCGAAAGCATGTTGTGCCGTGAACCTGATATAATGCTATATATAGAGAATATAGAGATGTTGTTAGAAACAAATATGTCATCAGCTGTAGGTATCTTACCCTGTGGGGACGTGGTATGATAGCTAAGCTCGTTTAATGTCCTGACCCAGCGCAGTTACCAAGTCGTGACCTTCAAACACATTGAACACCAAAGCGACAAATTAAGCTAACTTTCCAAAAAAAAAAAAAAAAGTGGCTACAGAAAAGTTTTTTTTTTTTTTTTTCAACACTTCAATCGTTTAAACTCTACGTAACACAACACACGACATCCTTAATTCGACGGCATAAGAACTAATCGCTAATTGGTGATGTTTTTGCTCGCTTTGACCTTCGAGCAGCGCACTGCTGTTTGTGCGATGCTAGCTTACGCTGTGACGTTTGCTAACACGTTCTGTCCTGCTCCAAATCAGAAATCTCTACCTGCAGCCATGCTATTTATAATTTGTGCGGTTACTAAGAAGATAAAAATAAGTTGTTTTTTTTTTTTTTTTTTGGCAACTAATAAATTATGATGCACGATTTGCCCCTTGACTAGTAGCCTACTCCTTTTTTTTTTTTTTGTATTGCTACCCAAACAACTCTTCGAGGTTATCAGCCAACCCAGCTGGTGGCACAACCATCTTCATCTTAAGTCACAGGTCCAGTCCGCTTTCTGGTCTCCCTTTTTTTTTTTTGTTGCTTCCAGTGTTGGGTTTCTCTTGTAAATCAGCCACGCTGACAGTGACAAAAGACTGCGGCCGGCTGCTGTGTAAACTCCCTCGTTGGCACTGGCAGGAGGTTTCTTGTGGTATGTGCTGCACACTTTCTGCTTATACATGAAATGAGGACACACACACACACATACATGATCCAGCTATGTGCATGCAGAGTTTCATAAGAGAAGAGTGGGCTGCAGGGTCATGGCCAAGTGCTACCTAAACCTGCTCGTGTGAAAATAGCTTAAACACACACACTGTACACTGTCAGGATTCCTTCCTTTAATAACCCTCCTCTGGTATGCGCAGCTCATACACAGTTTCACATCTTCAGTGTCTATATGTTGATTGAGCTCCTCCCCCCCCTTACCTATTTCCAGTCTCACACTCTTCTGTCACTACACTTGCACTGCTGTCCACACGGTCAAGGATCTGTCCCACATTTGGGAGTCGGGAGAAAGGAATTCACAGCCTGCAGACAGCGTGCAGGGCAAAGCTGAGATGCTACACCTTTCTTCCTCACATAGTTTCCAGAGTAGTAGACCGCTCCCTCAATCCGATACCTGTCAGTCACTGCTGAGGGGGAAAAGAGTTGAGTTGAACTCAAAGTTATGGTTTGAAGTTTGATATAAGTAGCATGCATGTTGTGGAAAAACGATGCAGTACACACGTCCATGTTGCCATTCTGAGCCTGGGAAACCCTCCAAAAGCCGCCCAGGGAGCCGTCCACTATCTCCCAGCTCCCCACTCCTCTGACCGGCAGTAATTACACAAACACGAGCCAGCTGCCGTGTAGAGCGGTATTAGAATCCCAAGTTATTTATTCAGCTGAGTCCAGTAAGACCCTTTCGGCCGGCGGGTACAGTATCAGACTCGAGGACGGCTATTTGTTCAGCTATTAGGAGTCAGTCGAGTGTGTAAAGGCTTAACCTCGACGAAACGGGGCTGAAGTGAGGCCAAAAATCTTTGCCTCGCCTGGAAGACTGTCCTGCAGCTCGGGAGTTGTTTCTGTATTGGTAGAGTTAAACACCAGCTACAAACTTACACAAACTCAATGACATGCTTCTCAGTTGCTGAAATCAGTGCATTTATAGTGCTTGTAATATGACGATGAAGTGAATATTTGAGCATTTTCTAATGCAGAATGAGAACACAAGTCAACTCATAATTTCAACTTGTGATCTGGGAAACTGTGATTTGATTTATACTTGTCTATGCTGACATTTTAAAAGCTTTATGATTTACCCCAGTTACTACTATCAGTTAATTTAATTTGGGATGGGTCAATGTCAATTAATGTACATTAAAAACAAAAAAAGAATCAGCCTAACAGTGATTTTTTTTAAAATAAAACAAGGTGTTTAAATTCTCAAATAGATCAGAGAAGAAACACAAACAACAATATAAAGAAAGTAATGTTGCAACCCTCCTCTGATTTTTTTTTTACACCCTGAAAATATTTCATGTTTGTTGAAAAGACACAAACATGTATTGTATTTAGGGGGAAAAACATCCAAAAGGTCCCTTAACTAGTTTCTCTGAGCAAATTCTCTCACCGACTCTCGCTCAGAGCTCTTATAAATCAAACTTTAGCTTCTAAAAATCCATAATTTTCTGTGTTTTTCCGCCATAAATCATAATCAACCGAGTATGTTCGGGTTTTAGACAGTTTATCAAAACAAAACTAATGAATTTAAAGATCGCTGTAGCTACGACTGCAGTTCTCTTCCCTCTTTCTGACATTTTTAAGACGATTGTGAAGAAAACAATCAGCTAATTTAATGAAGCTCACCATCCACATCAATAAAGGATGGGTTTGTTTTGATCTCTGAAGCTGGTTGACCTCACTACAGTACAGTCAATCTCCATGAAATGTAGTTTTCTGTGTTCAAAGCTCCAGAAAAATCCCATTGGAAATGCTTAGAAGAACATCTGTTTCTGAATAATTCATGCTAATCCACAAACCTCAATATGAACACTTTCTCCTTTTGCTATAAATCTGTTTTCACTTTGTTGTTCACTGTGTTGGTCTGTGGATTATCATGATGTCATTTATGACACTTTTAGGCGCCACAAAGCAAACACAGCTGATCAGTGCTATGCAAAACTTAACGACAGCCAGAATCGAAAACTCGGGGGAATCACAGCAGAACTCCTAAATCTGAAATGCTATGATTAAACTTGTGTTCTTTATGGATCAGATTATGAACTTAGATTCTCTGCAGACTGTTTTTTTTCCTCAGGATTGTCATCTGGCTGCCCCGACCAATGAGATCTGGATCTCACCAGTGGCTCGCCTCGCCGACCGATTAAACGTTAAGCTGCTCTTAAGCACTGCTCATCTCCCTAATTAGGCGGTAATTATTGTCTCGAGGGTCAGCGGCTGCCTGGTGGCGCAGTGAGCAGAGACCGTGAGCTAACAAACTCAGAGGAGGGCGGAACAAGAATCTCAAATTAGTGCCACAAGATCTGTTTTTTTTTTTTTCCCCTTCTCTTCTGCTCATTTAAAGCTCAGGTCCTGCCACAGGATATCTCCTCTGCTTAAACCGTTAGCGCACATAAACCCTCTGTTTTTATTTAACACGACAAGCAGGCCGACTCCGGTTTGTTGTGATGCAGCATCCGTAAAACATCACTGTCGTCGTTCTGAAAAAGGCCTTGAGCAGTCCTCTTGGTCTGTGGATTAAGTGCCCACCCTTTGATTGACAGCAGAGCAAGGCCAGGGGCAACAAGATGCATTTAGTCGATGAGCGGCCATATGTTGAGCGCGATGGAGCCATGGGGCTTTAAATGCATAGTAACCTTTTATAGGGGCCAGTATTGATTGCTGTTGGTTGATACCAGACCATTAACGCTGTCTAGAGCAGGTCAGGGGGTTCATGAGCTGAGATTTATCAGCCTCGCACTGAACATGTTAGAGAGAAG